GTTTTTTCTCGTTACTTTTTTGGAACTATTTTGTCGAAAATAACAATTCTAAGTAAGGAGAAGGACTAGGTTTATTCCTCACAAAATATTTTATGGGACTATACTGACATATTGTTAAAAATGACAGATTGCATTTTATTGTACTTTTTACAGACAATTTGTTTATAATAATGCTTGAATTTGTATTTATTAAATTGATATAAATGTTATTTAGTTTGAATTGCCATGAAATTTTACGAAGACTTAACATGTTATAGAATTAATGTAGCTATAAGATTTTTAACATTTGTATTTGAAACTTAATATAATAAATATGTGTGTTATAATAAAAGTTAAAATTAAAAAACATAGTCAACAAAGACTTAGTCGTCAAGTAGCGAAATTAATTAATATAATGAAATGAAATAATAGTATGCCTACTAAGAAGATTAGGATAACAAATAATAAAGTAAGCCTAAGAAAAAGACTAGGAAAACAACCGAACAAATCAGACTTTGTAAAACAAATTAAAGTACATTTAAAATGACAAACAACAAATATGAAAAAAGTAATTAAATTTTATTGAGACCGGAAATTTAGTGTTTCCAATTATAAAAGTATAGCAATTTTATTAATTTAATGGAAAGAACATTTACTTTAGCCCATTGTGATTAATGCTTGGTTTAATTATTTAGAGCTTTGAAAGTTTTAACGTAAACTTAAACAGCAATTAAACGATGTTAATTGTAGTAGTTTTGTTTGACTAGCCTTCCTAAATTTGATGTTAATTTATTGCTCACATAAGTGCTCCTTTTATTCGTAGTTGTTGTCGACGAAAGAATTCACAATCGCTACTCAAAGTAAATCGAATTTTAATTGTTATTACAAATTATAAGAGAGATAAAATTACATTAAGCAAGTTTCATGTGACAAGGTTGATCGAGAAATCATTCAAAATAATTTGAATTTAAATTGTACTATTTTAGAGATTAACTGCTCCATCAACTTAGCGAAAATGAATTTAGGACTTCCATAACATTTGTGCACCACTAAAAAGGAGAAAAATGAAAATATAATTGATCTTAATCATCTAGTTAAATAAAAACATTCAACTAATACATCATTTAGTCTTTCTGTAGCAAGAATACCAACCGATAATATTAGATTAATTTTAAAAAAAATATGTACATAAAATATGTAATTTGATAAAAAGATCATGAATTTATGTGCAAACGTGCATCATAAATTACCCAAAATCATTGTCATTATGCATAATTTTAGTAAGTTGTGCAAAAGGGATGAAAATTGTGTGATATTTAGTTCTAATTAGACATTTTAAATTCGAATTCTGAATTAACTAAAATATATTATCTCATTAATTAAATACATTTGTCAAAACAATAAAATTCTAGACATTTTCTAGTTAAGATTGATGCATATAAATAAAACAAATTACACTATTATATGATTAATTTATCTACTTGCCTAAAAGATGAATTAATATACGTGCAATTTTTTTCATAAATTCAAATTAATAATATCTAATTGAAGCACTTTATTAAGAATTGAGATGTTTTAAATACAAAGTAGATGTTTTAACAAATATAAAAAGCTGACTATGTATTGAGCCAACTATTATCACAATATATATTATTCTATGGCTTAGTCATGTTTCATTACACTCATCTAAACGCCAAAAAATAATCTAATAAATATTTTCTTTACGCTAAAGTAGTTTTCAGAAAATAAAAAATGAGCAAATTATTTCCAAATAATAGATCATTACCTACTTTTGTCATGGTGTATACACTATATATATGTATGTTGCCATATGGCAAGCACTTTCTGACCAAGTATAATCCAATTTTCCTGACTCGATATTCGGTTTTCATTTTGAGATTTGATTAATTCATTTTTTTTATATTGAAATGTTTCATTTTAGAGATGAATTATCTTTTATTAAAGACAACTTCATTTGTAATATAAACGTTTGCTTGAACTTTTAATAGGAGGAAAAATAAGAAAATAAGTAAGGTAAAGGAGTGATGTTATCTCCTGCCTTTTTTTTCCAACTAAGTGTTCGGTATTTATTTTAGAGGTAAAGTGCTCTCTAATAAAGATGATTTCATTTTCAAGATCAAATACATAATTTTTTTTATTACGAATGGAAAGATACCTATCACCCAACCACAACTTTTCGTGTTCCACTGTCATTAAAAAAAATCCTAATCAAACTATAAATGATAGACTCATAGTAATGAAGTGATACATATTTATTCTTTCTTAACACAAATTATATATTCGAGCCCTAATATAAAGTCACTTTGGATAGAGATCATTTTACCCTCGATATAGGACTTTCTACACAAATCTAAATTTAGTCGAATTTTAATATAAATATTAAATATCGGATGTAAAATGAAAAAAAGAAATTCCCAATCAGAACGCTATTACTTAAGCTCTAGAATTATATATTCATTTGATTAATAAAAGCGATAAATTTAAATTCGAGATTTATAATTATTTGTGATACTTAAAATTCGAGACTTACAATTAAGAGTGAACGACTATTTTTTACTTTAAACAAAAACATCTCCTAATCAATCACTTGAGCTCTAGAGTTATCCATTCATTATTAAGTTAGTGGTACTATGGAGATAAGAATAGGACATGTATCAATCAATAAATTGGACCCTTGCAATATTGAAACTTTGTAATCAATATGGATTGTGATGGTCGGAATTGTATTTGAAACTTTTTAATTCTTAATCAAAGATTTTAAATTTAAATTCGCGAGAATGGAAAGACAATCATTTTTAAAATCCCATTTCAGAATATATTATATAATATGCATATTTAAATTTAATCAGATCACGAACAATGAAAACAAGAAAACAAAAAAAAAACAGAACTCATAGAAGTTATTGTCCAATTGAAAACTGAAGGGCCACAAGTATGAACATCAAACACTTCAACTTTTAAACGTGTACATAACTTATTGATCATTCAACTTTAGTCAAATAATTTAAATTGTCACTAATAATAATAAATATATCCGTTTTGTTCCATCAGGACTTATTTCATTTTCAACGCTCAATAAAAGATGATCTAAAATAGAAAATAGAAAATTTTCAAATCTCAAAATTATAATACAAGTTTCGTATTCAATTAAACAACAACAATAATTGAGGCCTAATTTGAATATATCATTTTAATGGATTTTGCTTGTGTTGTCTGAGGATGTGAGTGGTTCAAAATTGTGGTTTTTAAATATATGTATACATTTTGAATTTCTATTTATATATATCTACATATTTTTTTAAGTTGAAAATAATTAATTCAGTTAAATCCAAGTATATGCTTTAAATATGCATATATTAGCCCAACGATGTGAATATTGTTTATACACTATTATTATTGTCTCTGTTTCATTTTACTATGTGATACTATTGCCTTTATATTTGTTGGAAAATATATTTTTTAAAATATTTTGAAACAATTTAAAGTTAGATTTCTTATTTACTCTTAACTCTTAACGTCACTATTCCAAGCAAACGTCATGGCTAGTTTTTAAGACTAAGTTTCAAATGTCTCTTTTCCTTTTTTTAAATTTTGTGTCTAGTCATTAGTCATTATATAAGAGTGAAAAATATATAGATAGTCTGGAAAGAATATGAACGGGTAGATATATATATATATATAATAAAAAATCTTTATTTGTTTTCTTATATATAAGCTAAACAATGGGTCGATAATTTAATGATGAAACTCCTCAATTAATGATGCATTTCCAAAATTGGTTGAGTCGTACGATGTATTATATCGACCAATATTTTTCCAACCCACCCCTAGTACATTAATTTTCTTACACTATTTCGAAAATCCAAAGAACTTAATCATATGAACAATAGATATCTGATTTTCAGTCCTAGCAAAAAAGAAAAAGAAAACGAATACTCAATTTAAAGCGAGTAATTATGCAATATTTTATACTCGATTTCATATATATATATATATATAGAATTATGCATAAAATCGTAACGTGATAGGATTAGTATTGATTCATCTTGGATGCTCGAGTTAAACTCTAAACGTGTTGTTACAAACTTACTATGTGACAAAAATGACTATTATATAGTATTATTTAATATATAAGGCATGTTACATCACGTTTATCACAAAAAGTCCAATTGACACATGCCATCAATATTATTCCTTTTTACGTAATATATACTTTTGTGTGAATTATATATACTTACTTATATTCATATTTGATGTGATGTTATTTGACAAAATATAATCATGAATGATTTTATATTTGGTGCGATGAATTTTTTTTTTTATTTGTCCTCATCAACCCGGCCCTCCGTCATGAGTGTCACATAACAATAAAAAAAAAGTCCCTACCAGGAAAAGTCTTTGGCTATGAATGATATTCATTCATTGTATCACTTGAGCGTTACTTAGATTATAAATATATAATAAGTAATTTTTTTTTAAAAAAAAGTCTAATATAAGTAATTTTGAATTTACAACGTGTTCCACTGGATATGTATTATCCTTGTGGTGTATTAATTGACTCATGTTTTTCATTTTATTTTTGGGTACAAAATACAAATACTGATGATAATATAGGAGATTAGGAGTAATTGTTCTTATTTTATTGTAGCTACTGTTACTTTTTTTATTTTGTGTTATAGCAAAATTAGTCTCTCTAACTTGTAAGAATAAGATCTATGATTCACCAAACATTTGGTCAAACTTTCAATTTCTTATGTCTGCAAAATATTATTCTATTGTTTTTTTTTTGTGCGTGTGAGTTCATATGTGTTACGTAATTAATGGGGTAAAGTAATTTATACTAACAAATTAAAATTAATATAAAACAAATTAAAGATAAATTTTTGTTTTGGGTTTTCACCAGATATTGTGTCTATAAAGACAAGAACAACATACACAGACGAATTTCTCAGTTATCAAAAAAAAAAAGACAAGAACAACATATAGCAAGATAAATTCGCTATAGTTGAAAAAGACCTCACAAACATATTTATTAGATTGTGTAGCTTGAGTTCGAACCTCAGTGGTACTTAATTTAGTGTTCCCCCGTTGCGCTCAAAATCCTGAGTCCGACTCTCTGCATGTTTGAGGCAGTACTACTTTTTACTTAGACTAATCATGTCGAAAAAGTCCATTTTAAGGTAAACACATTTTCTAGTGAAATTGACTTCATTCTTATAATTCGAACTCGAAATCTCTAATTAATGTACCCGACTATAATGCTGCTTTAGACAAGAAAATGGCTAGCCCAACCCACACGTGAAACTTGGGCCGTCTTCTGACCCAATAACTTTTTGGGCCAATTCTGGGCTTTCTTATGCTGGCCAGTTTCAACCGGTTCTGGGCTGGTCCAACTGGTAGGAGTGATATGGGATGACTTACTTGTACATGTTGCAAAAGATAATAGGGCAAACTAAGCAAATACCTCATAAATAAAAATAAAATAATTACAAACATATACGGCTTTACATTCATATCCCATTAAATAATTACACTATATACCCCAACTAATATGATACTAAATCAGTATCATATATTTTCAAGTTTGCTCTCCATGGATTTTGTGATATTGAGGATGTGTTTTCCGACTCCGTTGGGAACATGTAACCTTTATTATAAGTTGTTTCTTATAATGATACAGTAATGAGGATTCCAATGTTTCTTAGTAATATATGAAAAATTAGAGTTATATCTTCATATTATAAGTTTCAAATTATCCAAAATGGGTTTATAGAATTATAAGAGAAGTTGAATGCATTTAAAATTAAAACAAATAAGAGTCTTTGGGAAATATATATTTGACTCATTAGAGTATATAGTCATATGATTCAAGGAGGAGCAACCTATCCTTAGATAACCCAAAATAAGTATATTGAAGGGAAGGGACTAAATCTAGTTATAACATAAAAAAACTTGAATACACACAGCTCCCAGTCCCACCCATCTGATATTTAATCTTCACAATTGTATCAACAAAAACATCTCAACTTGATTGCCCAGCACAAAAATCTTACCTCAACCATAAACAATGTCCAACACAGGATGTTGTATACTAAAGTCCAAGCCGGCATATTGGATTTCTTTTGATGAGACCTAGATCCACCTGAAAAAACAAACACAGAACAAGGTCAAACATTGACATCGTTGAGAAATTCTACCACAGTGCCAATTATACCTTGGGACCGAAAAGATCTCTGATGTTGTCAATTCCGTAGAGAATCATGGTGGGCCTGATGCACAAAGACAAGCAAAATAAGCTTCAACAAAACATGTGAACAATTGTGCATTCACATCAACATAGGTACAGCAAGTTCATTTTAATTTATAAGTAACAACATGTTGCTGCTAACAGATAGTATACCTCTCAAGGGAAAGGCCCCAGGCAATAACCCGAACATCTTCTGGCAGACCCATAGGAAGAAGCATTTCAGGCCTAAACATACCAGAATTTCCAACTTCCACCCATTTCTTAAAGCCTTCATGGTAGCTGACAAACAAAAGGATATGAAATTAATGCTGAGTTGAACAATTGTGCATTCACATCAAAGATACTACTACAACCTGAAAATTTCCATGCTGGGTTCAGTATAAGGATTATAAGCAGGTTTGAACCGAAGCTTGGACATTCCTGTAATTACAAAAAGAAAGGTAAACCACTAATTAGCCTTCTCAAAATTAAGAGCTCCTGTAAATTGAGTTGGACGTGATATCAATGCAAGCTTTATCTTTTCTATGAAACCAAGACTTGAGCAGACATTGATGTACTAAAAATAGAACATAAGCAAGAATACAAGTGCAGTGTTGTGTTAGTTGGTCACCTAGACGAGAAAAGAAGTCATGAAGAACACCAATCAGGTCACCAAGAGTAAGTCCACGATCACATATTAAACCTGGAATAAGAAACCATGATAATATGTTCATGAAACTGTTAACAGGAATAAAAAGCAAACAAAGAATAAGATTTACTTACACTACTACCTAACACAGAGTTTAACACAAGTAGTACCTCTCACCTAAGAACTATGAAACAAATACAATCTAAAGTCGCATATTGGCGTTGTAATCACCTACAGTACAGAATAAATAGCATAGAGAAGTCTTTTTAGTTAAAGGAAAGTGTGTAACATTTGGTTTACAGCATAAAACTCTGAATGCTAATTAAAGCTTCGTATAACTAACACAACATTTGGTTTTCAGTATAGAACTAGTAGATAACTAATACAGTGTTTAGTCTGTATCAAACTGTGCTTAGGTAACACCACTCATGCGAAATTTATGCATGAAAAAATGGAATAAGCATATCTAAAGACCCCTTAAAGTAGACAATCTCTACAAAACAATCCATGTAATTATTATTCATCATATAAACAATTCCTACATTATAATTCACGTAACAATCCTTGTATAATTAGTATGTGAACTAAACTGCACCCTAATTGTCATATGTCAAGAGGGGTATTGGCTCTTTGATAATGTGCTGTCATAGTAAGCAACAGAAATACTCTTCAGTGCTCCCTACTTTTCCGACCTAAAACAGAAACCAAGCCAATGTTCATAAAGTATCTAAAGCACAGCTCATTATAATTCTACAATGAGGAATTCAACCAGTAGTTGGGAATTAGGACGATAAATCAGTTTTGCTGGCACTTCAAGGACCACTGTCTATCTGAGCTAAAGGTTTGGTACCATAGAAGAACAAGAGAAGAAAATAATATAACAAGGAACAGGAAAACATGAACGACACGAAATTAGTATAACTATATAGCAACCTTCTATCTGATGAAATTCAGCAAGATGTGTCCGATCAACTGCTTCATTTCTGAAAACACGATCAATAGAATAGTATTTCTTGGGGGCGAATGGCTTCTGCAATTATGTATAGCACAGGTTTAAAATGCACGAAGTAAAATCAATATATGAAACTATGATTCTGGATAAGGTGAGCCATTTAGACCTGAGCTAATGCATACAACATTCTTGTCGAAACAGCAGTAGTGTGTGTCCGCAAAAGATTCTTGTTCGCTTCCTCTCTTTTCCAATCATACCCATATCTAAGCAAGAAGAACTGTTAAAAACTGAGTATAAATTTGCCAAAACCTTGACAAGTGTGAGTGACATTGAATACCATACCCCCTAGATTGGTAACCACCAGATTCATGAATTTCTTTTACCCGCTCAACATAATCTTCTGGCAGCATCTTTGTAGAGGAAGGCACTATAATTCAAACAAATAATTCATTAGAAGAAACTCAGATGAGGCAGATAAAATGTAAAGTCAAACTAACCTTTCAAAAAGAAAGTATCATGTGAATCACGGGCAGGGTGCTGTTGGGGCTGGAAAAGTGCATCGAAGTTCCAAAAACTGCAAATTATGACCAGCCACATTGACATATACTTCTTTGACAAGGATTAAAACAAATACTAATCCTAACAATTTTTTCTAAGAGAGCATGACAGTGCACAAATCACCACTAGCTATACACCAGAGAAGACTCCTAAATGGATTACGTTGTGAAATTTATGGTTTTGCCATCAGTTTGAACTTGTAAGCTCATGAATATTGTATAGCTATATTTTACCATCCATCTTCAATAAATTTGATTGTTTACCATCAAAAGATCGTGAATGTTCGACATGAAACAATAGTATTTAGAAAATTGGTTTACAGAAGAGGTACTTTGAAACTGTTATGTACTAGGAAGTAGGAACTTTAGCAAGTAAAATGACAACAGCCAAAACATGTATCTCTAATGGAGGATAAAGTAGGATTTGATTCAAAATATTTACATATCAACCTCTTAACTAAGAGCCATGCAAAGAAAATGTCCCCTCCAGTTATTCAGATAAAAAGTAAAAAGGCAAGGAAGGAAATGCGCCATTTTCCTAGTTCAGTTATTTCATATAGCCCAACAACTTTTTACTTTGGGAAGATGTTCCATCAATTATGAAGGGCTCACTTGTATTTATGACTGGGGAAAAGACTAACAAAATAAATAATAGCTTACCTGCTTTCGACATAATTATTTGTTGGCATCTCCTCAAACCTGCACAATTCAAATGAAATATTGCACTTACAGTCCACTACAGAGAATTTCCAAATAAATAACTAAATATATATATAGACACATTCATCTACACACATGCATTTATACAGCCTCCATATATAGAAATCTTTTAGAAGGAATGCAGCCTCCAAATATAGACATGAGAAAAGGTCATTTAGTCATACCCCATATTAAGAAAAATCGTTTGTACCTGCCGCCTAACCTGCAACAAGATGGTAAGATTTAATCAACACGTGAGGGAAGGCAATTTGGCCTCAGTTAGGTAACAGTAAAAAATCATTTAAGGCCACAACAACAATCACTAATGAAAAAGGGAACCAAAACATGCCTTGAGGATTGGATGAAGATGGCCGCCTTCAACTGGCTGACCTTTAGCACTGAAGTTGTACTCTTTAAATTCCAATTCCTTCCAGTCACCCCTTCAAAAGAACAAGCAACATATGTTAATTAGAAAATAAACTAAATGCTTCGTCCATCATGGAATTAGTGCATCCCTACTTAGATTAATTATTCAAACACATGAATTTGGATGAAATAAATATTGAATACTCCGAAACCATCTGTGAAAACTGCATATTAACTTCTCTCATTTACCCAGCCCATGAATTTGTTTTGTTTTTTTAAACATAAAAATAGCAAGTGCTGACCACTTTTTTGACTAGTAATTGATAAATAGACCACATATGAAAACTGGTAGAAATGTGGAAGTAAAGTACTCTAAAAGCTAAAACACAAAAAAACTCAAGCACATTGTCTTAGAGTTTGAAAATCCTACATGTGAAACTCCGGGACAGTTGAAACTCTGAAGCGTAAGTGCTAGGGTTCGAATCTGAAGAAAAAGCTACAAAGGTACACTTTCCTGGAGATCCACACGTAGGGACTTCTCAAACTCAAAAACAATGTCAAACTCCGTCAATTTTTGGCATTTGATTAAATTATAGAGCATTTACCAACTCTTCAATTTATAGTTCAAAACCGAGGACTGAATAATATGCTCAAACTGCCTTAACAATTGATACAAATTCCCTATTCAGGCATTATCCAAAAGCTGACTATCACATTCCAAACTACTAATTTTTCCAGTAATTTAACCCGAGCTGTGCGCATAACTGAATGACCTAGCTATCTTTTTATGAGGAACTAACGGTTTTTTCTATCCAAATGAGTCAGAAAGTTACCTCTGTAAATTTTCCCGAGTGAGATCAGTCGCTGCTCTTTTCCTTTTGGGGGCATATTCGGGACCTTTTCTTACGGAATTTCCTTTCCAAACCCTAGAAAGAGCAGACATTTGAACACGTATTAGGATAATTGTAACATTACATCTTGTAAACGTCAAGTGCTGGAGAAAGGATATTAAAGAATAGATAATTACTGCTGAATTGTTAGTTTTCTTCGCTTTAGAGCATCAATATCTTCCTGATTGACAGCCTGCAAAGCATTGCTTTGTTACAGTCAAATTGATTCATATAATAGTCAACTAGCTACAAAACCATAACTAATTTCCTGTGTAGGAGGAGAGCTATTAGTAAAGATGAAAGGAAAGCAAAAAGTGAAGGGTTGGGGAATAAGATAACCACTGGCTACAAACTATATACCTCGTCATTTTGTATCCGCAACAGCAAATTTTTAACTTTGTCATCAGCATGTTGGACCTACATGAAGTCAACAAATAGACTAAAAGGTAGCCCTGTAAGAAGTATTAATATAAGCACATGTTGATGTCACCTTCCCTTGCTGCCTCTACATTATAGTTCTCAGAGACCTCATTCAACATATATGGATAAGGAAAGAAAACAGTAAAACAAAAGAAGGCCATGTGCTATAAACTGAAGTAGATGGCAAACAATAAGCAGCAACAAAACATAGAAGGAGAAACAGAAAAATCCTGGAACCACCACAAGGGAAGTCGAGGGCCAGTTACTATTTAATAATGTTGAATATAGGCTAGAAATGAAACGTTATTATCGCTAAAGAACTGGTACTAAGCAAGTAATAAAGGCTTTTCCAGACCTTCATTGTCATCATGATGCATGAGGGGATTCCTGATTATTTGACTACCCTAGTCCCCCAAGCAAGAACCACTGGAGATCAAGGACTAGATAAACTGCTATTCATCATTTAGGCAAGGTCACATGATGAGACTAGTCCATTTATCTCGCCTCTTTTCTCTAAAGAAAAACCTTATAGCGGAAGGGTCACGAAAAAAACCTTTCAGAGAAAGGGTCGCTACTCATAGATTTCCACATATTTTGCTCTCAAAAGTATTGGAGGCAATTGGGTCCTAATCTTCAGGATGGTTGTCTTTTGCACTTACAAGCTCAAGTAGAAGGGATAGGAGAAGAAACTCGATTAAAATTAAAAACTTTAAGTAGAGTGAGGTTGAAAACAAAATTGAAGTTACAAAGACAGGAATACTACTACTACCTATCAAAATGAATTATGCGGGACGAGTTTGGTGATTGAGAGGCAGAGATAAGCAACTCCAAATGAGAGACGATCAAGCAACAAAGAAGCAAGCTTAACAAGGGAATAATCTTTTGGTACCGAAGGTTATAAAATTTTGTTTTAGGCACGGATTGGGAGAAGGTACAGTTTTTCATCAATTAAAAAACTGCGGTCATAACAAAGAATGATAAATTAGACATACAGAGGAGGATGAGAAAAACTACAGTTGCGATAAAATAAAATAAAAGGAGCAAAATTATACTCCTATGCAACTGCCTACTGTACCTTCTTTGACACAAGTGTTTTTGCCATCTCCACCCACTTGTTCTTTATAGCTTGCTGACAACCAATTTTATAAACTGCAGGATCCAATTTTTTCTGCATCCAGATAGACGATTAGCCAAAAGAGAGCTCACAAATCTTTAATTTTGTACTGTTTGATGTAAAAGAAATCTGCAATAGCGCATGAAAAGAAAAACTTAGTAAAAACACTAAAAACCAAATACGGTGCAAACCTGCAAGTCTTCCCGCGCAATTCCCTCCGGTGGTACTGCTGAGAAAAGCTGAAATTCTGGAGAACCTACAGCAGCATAAGTTTTCCCCTCTTCAGTAAGCACCCATCTCTCTCTCCTAATGTCCTGCACAATTCAACAAATTCAAATCTTCCAAATTATAATTCAGAGTCATTTTTGCTTTGGAGCTTAATACTTCAATTCTCTAATCAAATCAAATTTGAATAGACAGGACGAAAATTAACTAGGAAAAAAGTACCTTAGCATCGACAAGTCGAAAGCCATGGAGTCTGCGAATGACATTGACGATGTCGTCATGGCTAAAACCCAAATCCTGGGCAAAGTCAGCAGAATTTGAAATCTCATCGTTGTCTTTGAGATATGCCAATATGGCGTCTTCCGCTTCATCTGCCATACTCATACTCATTTGTGTTAGGGTTTGTGTTAGGGAGACGGCGATTTTGCTTTACCTAACACGGACTGTAAACAATACACTTAAAAAATATTTTATTTTTTATATCTATAAAATATTGTATATTTATTATAAACTAATTTTACTGTACTTTATTGTCTTCTTCTTATCCAAATGTATTGCATTTTTTAAACAGAGAAATATCCAACACATCGCTATTCAATTGAAGTAGAGAGCAGATATGGCTATAGCTTCAGCAGCGCCATTAATGGCAATGAACGGAGCTCTAAAAATGGCGACAAATTCACAATCATACTTGGAAGTTCAGGATAACTCAATTCCTAAACCTCAACAACTTATCGTCATCTCCCCTTCAGGTAAGCACCCATTTAACATCTTATTTAGAGACGGATCCAAAATTTAAGCTCTACGGTTGAATCCATTGTATTAAATTATGCTCATTATTTTACATAGGAAAAGAGAACGGCGAATAGTTGAGCTGTGTTTTGATAAATTTTACAATACATAACATACCTAGTGTAATCACTAATCCCCGTGTGGGTATAATGAGGGTGGTGTGTAAGGAGTCTTGCTCCTATCTTTTTTGAAAGGTATAATACATGAACGTATCTTTTAATTGAGCTTCAGTTGACATTTATGCTCTCTAACTTTGAGTGTTAACAAGTGGGCGTTTAAATTTGTATAATATTGAACAAGTAGACACATGCGTCCTACATGACATAATATGTGCCCTGCGTAATAGAAATCACTTCGAATGTATCTTACGTGAATTGCTACGTAGGACACATGTGTTTATTTGTTTAATTTTATGCAAGTTTAAGTCTCTACTTGTCGATACCTAAAGTTGGAGGACATAGATGTCAGTTATATCTAAGCTAAATGACACGTTTATTTATTATGTTTTTGATAAGTAGTTGATGATGGTTCAGTTAGGAAACTCTAAAAAAAATTATGGGTTCATGCCTCTTATTTATCCTAATTTTAGTTGATTTTTACACATAAATTTATGTTCTGCATCAAAAGTATTGTGTTTAGATCAACCCACAACTAAATAGCTGCATGCGCCCCTACTCTTAGAATGAGAGGCAGATCCTAAATTTAAATCATCATGATTCTTGTTTGATTTATTAAGTTCGAAATATATTATCTGTATTTATTTAGCAAGGATTCGAACCAAAGCTACTGGTTGTTAGCTAGTTCCGCCCGTGGTCTTAGCTCCTACCTCCCACCAGAATTGAGCAACTTCCACTAAGGGTCAAACTTCAAGGTTATCAAAAAATATTCCTAAAGTCAGATTAGTTTGGTTTGGTGAAAATAGGGACTAAGTTTGATATTTTTCCTGTGTTACCCTACTAAATCTTGAACTTTGCTTTCTGTTATCTTCTTTGAGTTCTGTGTGTATTTTGGGTTGTTTGATCAGGGGTGCAGAAGGAAAGGATGGTGGAAGAGGATATGTATGTGTTATCTGCGCCATTGGCCACATCTTACCCGCATAAGCCTCCCAAGTATTCTGATTGTGCTCCTCTGTTTTTAAAGGTACAATTGAATCATCGCTATCATGATGCCACAGTTAAGTTTAATCAGTTCGGACTGGACTGGACAACAACAACTCATGGTCCTATTCCTAACTCTAATGGTGCTTTAAGCAGCATTCAAAATGTCAAGATGTCTGCAAAAGCAGGTGCTCTTGCTTCAAATGGTGACATTGAGCCATTAAGGGTAAACATTTGAAAATTTTGGACCATTCTCTAGTTTCTTGAAATTTATGATTTTGATTTAAGCTTTATATGCATGTAATTAAGTGTCATATGACTGCATAGTAAATTTTTATAGTTTGGTGCAGCGCTGCATTGTTTTGGATATTGAAGGAACCACAACGCCCATATCATTTGTTACGGATGTTCTTTTTCCTTATGCTCGTGATAATGTGGGGAGACATTTGGATGCAACATATGATTTGGCAGAAACCCAGGAGGATATTGAACTACTAAGAGCTCAAGTAAGCTAACTTTCTGAGAAAATTCTGAGAGCAGATTTCATGATAGGTTGATCTCAATTTGAGCTCGAGCTACTCTCTAAATAACCCAAGCTGAGCTGAGTGGATTGTTTACACTCCCTACCTCTTCTAAATGGTCATGATTCATTACATATATTATTACACATCCATTAAATCGGTACTATCCACTTGAATTTCCCACTTGCAAGGAAATAAATGTTTGTTTTACACTCACAACACCACATGTTAGCCATTTTTTGACAATAATACTATGCTGAGTGTGCTTTGCATTTCTGAATTCAATTATACTAGAAAGAGAAATGATGAAAGGGTATTCCTCAAGCCCATTTGGGTTGCCGACGTGTTGGATAACAAGGGCATTGAGGAAGGAGTGGTGCTTCTGTCGATGACTTCAATACTTTCAAGATTAGGAATAGCATTAGAGTTAGGTTCAAGTTTTCCTCTTACATGACAATACACATAAGACTAAGATATGAAAACTAAAGCTGAATAAAATTGGAACCCCACTATATATTTTAAGAAGTAAAATCCACGACTCAGCTGGTGTTCTAGATCTTGTCTTTGTATATTGTATCCATTATTACGTAAAAATAGGTGCTATCCCTTTTTAACTAAAACACGATTCGACATTTGTCACAAGTAGAAACTCTCTAATATACACGTTGGACTTAAGAAGCTGTAATTCATAATTAGGTACTATGCTGTAAAGGCAACTGAATTTTGCCCCCTTTACATTCTTCTTTCAGGTACAAGAAGACTTGGAAAATGGTGTTGCCGGTGCTGTGCCTATCCCCTCTAATGATGCTGGGAAGGAGAAGGTAATTGCAGCTTTGGTAAAAAATGTTGAGGCAATGATTAAAGCTGACCGGAAAATTACTGCCTTAAAGGAGTTACAGGTGAGGAGATCTGTGGTAAAATTATTTGTTCCTTCATCCCGTCCAAATGTTTTATGGTTTCTCAGTTTCAACACATGTTCCTTACAATTTGTGCTGGTCTTCATATTCTGTTACTCAGGGGCATATATGGCAAACGGGGTTTAAAAATAACGAGTTAGAGGGAGTTGTTTTTGATGATGTGCCCGAAGCTCTTGAGAGATGGGCTGCTTCAGGCATCAAGGTTCCTCTCGTTTGCCCATCATTTCTGCACTTGAGTATTTCACTTTTTTAATGAGCTCTAGTTTCATACAGTTGTAGTTGCAAATGAAGACTTAATGTTTGATTATGATCAAAGGAGTTTCTCTTTTGTCCCTTATAAAAAAATTAAGGAATTTCTTCTAATATAAATGGTTTCAGCCTAAATCATGTGGAAGGAAGTTGTCTCGAAAGAGCTACAAATTCTTGGAGTCAATGTAGATTTAGCTAAAGATAAGGTACAATGGAAGGAAAAGATATGTATAGGTGATATCTACTAGTTGGGAATAATTTTTCGACTTGTTGGAGAACATGTAATACTATTTTTGTCATTATTATTAATATATATGTGTGTATAAATTTGTTTTTTACTTTTTTGTTATGATGATGATTTTATTTGAGTTTAACTAAAGAAGTGGGGATTCATATACCAGCTTCAAGAAAGAAGTCGAGATTCATATAGTTGATCCAGCTTGTTTGTAACTAAGACGTAGTAATAACTGTTGTTGTATTAACGGCTTCAGCTTGCTGCATTAAGCGCATTTTTCTTCTTCATTATCCTGACAAAAGGTGTGTTACAAAGTCTATAACCTCTTATCTCCAGCTTCTGGCCAAACTGACTAGCTGTTTTGTTCCTAAGGTGTACATATACTCAAGTGGCAGCAGATTGGCACAAAGGCTTTTGTTTGGTTACACAAACTATGGGGACCTGAGAAAATATCTCTGTGGATTTTTCGATACAACAGTAGGGTAAATTTCTACCTTTCATCAAGCCACATCTCCAATTTTGAGGTGGTATCCGGATCTCTCTTGTCATTTTAAGTAAGTTAAATTACTTCTATTACTTGTAGGAATAAGAAAGAAACAAAAAGTTACCATGAAATTACAGCATCCTTGGGGGTAGATCACCCATCCGAGATTTTGTTCGTGACTGACGTCTATCAAGAAGCTATAGCTGCAAAGCCAGCAGGTAAATTCTGGTTGTTTTATATGAAAACTACTTTGTTTCTGAGTTTCAACCTATTGCCCTTCTTACCATTAAAACAAATAGTTGCAACAATATTATTATATGTTATACAACGCTAAATCAAAATATTTTCTGATGATTAAACATGTGCTCACTGTCATATATTCTTTTGTTTCCCACCTGGTGTCTAGTACCTCTTTTGGAGCCCGACTAATATGAATTCACGCCTAGAACTCTAACTTTGGGGGATAAAGTTTATCAGGATCGAATCAGAGACCTCTTGTTAAAGATAAAGAGGTATTTACCACCCCAACACAATCTTTGGTGGTACATGCTGTCAAATAATAAATAATTAAGACTGTTTTCTTAACATCTGAATGTATAAAACTTGTTTTTATAATAAATATAAAATACTAAATCAATCTAATACTATATCGAAAAAAAATTATATAGGGTTAGTGGTGGTTGTAGATGTCGATTAGGGATGAAATTAGCAGATGGTGGTGGTCGTTGTTGTGGTTAGTGATGATGGTGGCTAGTATTAAGCGGTTAAACAATGATTGTTGATGGTGGTAGTTGGTGGTGGCGGTTGACAATTGTAGTGAATGTTATGATAGCCAATGATGGTGGTGAATGATGACAACGGTTGATGATATATATTGGTGATTGTCGGTAGAGATGGGTGGTTGTTATGGTAATGGTGCATGGTTGGTGGTCATGATTGTTAATGGCGGCTAGTGGTGGTAATGACTTACTGTGTGAGTGGATGGAGTAGTGGTAAACTGTCAATTTTTTAGAAATGTTTTGATAGACATCTTAATGACATTTAAGATTTTGTTGTAGATCTTAATCATCCGAATCTATTCAGATCCATTAAGTGGTTGAAAAACACTTAACGGTTAAGATGTGAACAAACTGCTGCCACATGCTTAGCCTCTGATGTCGAAAATGCTACTGTAGCTTGATTCTTATAGCTCCAAATGATCAGTCCTGAACCTAGAGGAAAACATTTGTTGGAGCACTATGTCTATCATCCAACGAACGTGCCCAATCACTGTCTGTGTACCCACACAATCTGAGATTAGAAATCTTGGAGTACTAAATGCCATACTCCAAGGTTCCAGCAATTAACCGTAGCCTATTTGCTGATCTATAATGAACATTTGAAGGTTATTGCATAAACATGGAAATAACACCAACAGAAAATGCAATATCAGGTCAAGTGTTCGGTAAATAGATTAAACCTCTCACTTTTCACGTACTCCTTTTGTTGAAATTAGCTAGCTATACCAAGCTCTAGGGGCATCCAAATGAATTTCATGTACTCACTTTGCTGTTTCTTCTTACTTCTTTCTCAACAAAATCGGTGTCAAAGTAGGGGAATGTCCTGGGATTTAATCTCATTGTCACCCATTATTAAGAAAAATATTCATGTCCTTGGCTAATGAAAATAGAATCAGGTCCACACGTGAGGGGCATGTGGAGAATATAATCAAGTAAATAAAAGTGTGTTCTCTTGAACCGCTTATATATATATATATATATCATTGAACTTTTTAACCCCCTTTTCTTCATTCAGGTTTGGAAGTGATAATATCTGTCAGGCCAGGGAATGGACCTCTTCCAGATAATCATGGATTTAGGACAGTCAAGTCCTTTTCAGAGATCTAAACATGGACTATGCCCCCCCCCCCCCCAAACCCCATGTATAACAACATATTCATTGTAATTCCACAAACAGGATTGTGTTGTCTTGAATCCTACACGGATGGAAATGTTGTTCAGCCGTTGCTCGAATTCTTGAAAGATATCGCCAGATGTGTGTTAGATTTTCCAAAAATAGTGCATTTTTTGAAGAATCTAAGAAAAGTACAACAACATAGCAATTTAGTGCAATATGTCAGTTAATGTAATGGCATTGGATTTTTTTGACATGTATAGTGAGGTGGTATTGTAGAAAAGTTCATTTGCAAAATGAAAGTCAAATCGTTATAGTAAAATATTATTATTGAGAATGATTGTTATAAACATGTATGACTCTAGTAAGTACGAAACAATCTTTCTTATTATACAAAAGGGGTGTGATGTAGGTGACATATTTATAAGCAAATGTCAAAACATTGAAGCAAAACTAAAGAAAAAATGAATAACTTAAAATGTTACTAGAGAACGACCGAGTTTTCTAAGTAGGAAAAATAAATTCTACAAGTGGCATTCCACATTTGATTTAATTGTGTCCTCCCCACCTCATCGATCTTCACCCTCACAGCCTCACTCCTATAGTCCCTACCACCCCACCACTCCACACCACTTACCCCACCCCCACCTCCCATAGTTTTTTCTCTAGATTATATATTAATGTTTTGATGATATATACCAAAAATAAAAATAAAATAAGTAAGAAATTCACTTATTTTCGTCTGTACCGACCACACCCTTAATTTACAATCAAATTAATTATGCATGAATTATATAAAATATACATAAATTGTTAGTATGTTTTCCCGGGATTCAGTTAATAGAAAATAGCTCAAAGAAAAACACCAAACTGAAGTGGGATCTTCTTCTCTTTCACATCAAATTTCATTCATCATTTCATTTTCCAATATAAAGGTATTTTTTTCAATTTTATTTCTGTCAAATGTTATGTAAAATTGATTTTTTTTCTCTCTATGTATTGTACATTTTAAGTGTTTTTTTAATAACGATAGAGGTAGATCCAGGATATAAACAGTAATGGGGATAACTCGAACTCGAATTATATGAAAATTATGTGTATATATGATTTTATGTATTTAGTCTCTTTTTTTCTGGAATTATTATATTAGATTCTTTCTTTTTTTCCTGCCCCTTTTGGGGTTTTAGAAAAATTGCAAATCTGAATTTGTTTAATTTATTATCTTAGGACAATAATATTGGCCTATGTTTTTTATTTGTTTGATAATGCAGTCCTGATGTTTACATTTCTGGGCTTATTCTACTAAAAAGATTCATTTGGATTTTTACTTTTTTTTTATATAAAAAAACATTTGGATGTCACCATTGGAATATAGTATAGTTGAATAGATTCTTGTTTTGTCTTTTTTGATAACCGTGGTGTCTAGGAAAGCTTGCAAGCATGTCGACTAATTCAACACCCTATACCTCAGGGTATCTCGCACCAGCACAGATATCAAGTAACTTTGTAGCTTATGGTACTTAAACCATACTTCATTGACCACTAGCCACACCGTACCCTTAGATGAGAGATTCTTGCAATATAGTATAGTTGACGTTAGCGTGTTTCCACCTTAGCCGAAGGGGAGTCAATTGACACATATTCGTCGAAAAATTACACTGTGTATGTAGGTTAAATATGTTTATCTTTATGTGTGTATACATACTATATGTTGAATCCCCTTGGCTTCTTTGTGCATTTACTTTTTTATATATTGAATTCCGTTAGTGAATATCTTGGCTCCGCTAGTATTTACAATTGCAAGAGTTTTGTTTTGTCTTTCTACCAACTTTTAGCTCATGGACAGTTTAAGGGTTTATTGAGAAATTTTCTTTCACCATTTTAGTTTAAACAATTGTTGATGTTGACCTTTGATTTGGTTGCTTTTGATCTCAACAGAAAATGCAGAAATGTATAAGATAAGGGGATCATTTTGAAGAAGGCAATTCTTTTGGTTCGAGGGGCTCGAGGGTCCTTTTGGTTCACGATTGTCTAGTAAATGAGAGTTGAGTGGTAGTGAAGGAAGCTAGTAAGGCAGAGTGAACGAATCGTTGATAAACCGTTGGATTCCACTTCCTGTGTTGAGATCACGGAGGCGGATCATCCACCTATTGTCAATCGTTCCTTCAGGGATATACTGTAGGGGGCGAGTGGTCAAAAGTAGCAGATTGTAAATCTGTTGAATCTTTTTTTAGGTAGGTTCGAACTCTGCCTCTCCGGCTTTTGTTTGTTGTAGACTTTAGAGAAGGGAAAAGAGATTCATTTGTCAGCTTACATGATAAGGTCCAGCGATGAGGTCGTTCAACGTGGAGAAAAGATGGATGTTTCCTCTTATAATAAGCTCACTTGTGTTTATTTTCCTTCTTGTTACCTCCTTCGACTTGGGCCTCATTTCCTCGTTGCATACGATCAATTCAGTCTTCTCAATTTTCCCATCTTGTGTTATGGAGAATCAAACTAGCCCGTATATTGATGAAGTAAAAGTTCAGCAAGCTCCAAGTTCGCCTCCGCCTCCTTCACCTCCTCCACCACCTTCTCCACCACCTCCTCCTCCTCCTGCTCCGCGTTTTGCTTATTTGATATCTGGATCAAAAGGTGAACTAGATCAGCTTTGGAGAACGCTGAAATCGATATATCATCCGTGGAATTACTACATTGTTCATCTGGACTTAAAATCAGCAGCAGAGGAGAGACTAGAGCTTGCTTCAAGAATTGCAAACGAACCTGTTTTTGCCAAGATTGGAAATGTGCACATGATTACGAAAGCAAACATGGTGACATACCGGGGTCCAACCATGGTCTCTAACACTCTACACGCCGCCTCTATTCTCTTGAAGAAGTATACTGATTGGGATTGGTTTATTAACCTGAGTGCTTCTGACTATCCCCTGCTAACTCAAGATGGTTAGTTCTCAACTCTCATACTAGAAATTTATGTTGCTCGTACTCTTCAAAATGTTGTCAAACCCGTGTTGGAAACTCCAAGAATGTACTACTTTTGGGGGATCTGACACACTATTGTCGATATTTTTGAAGAATCCGAGCAACATAGCTAGAAATAGTATGTTCTGACAATTTATTCTTCTGTTTTCTTTACTTGAAGGTGAAATGTGATTTATTCTATTGCTTTACAGATCTTCTCTACGCGTTTTCTCAATTAAAACGTGACTTAAACTTCATTGAACACACAAGCCGGTTGAGATGGAAAGAGTATGTTCACCGAGTTCCTTGACTTGTTCTTTGTCTGTATTTATAGTTCATTCGTTAACTTTAATGTTACTCGATTTATCCTATTGCAGGTCGGAAAGGGCAATGCCGCTTATCATAGACCCCGGGCTGTATCAGAATACTAAGTCTGATATATTTTGGGTTGCACCAAGGAGAACTCTTCCCACAGCCTTTAAACTCTTTACTGGTAAGATTTCAACAGTTAAATCTGAATACTTTTAGCCTTCTTGAACATGTTTGCTGATATTTACGCCGTACAAATGCAAGTAGAAAGTGCAACATAACGTCAACATATATGTTTGATCCCATAACCTTTTGAGTTGTTGTTGTAGTCTTTTTTCCTCATAGCAGAATCTGCTATGTAACCTTTCGTAACCATATAAATTATGGCAACTAGAGAAACTAAGACGTATTTGTTGTTGTAGTCGAGAAACTAAACTATTAGTACCATGTTAAGACGCATTTGGCACTCGTCTGAAATCTTTGGATGTGATCGATATGCATACTTAGTATCGTCGTTTGATGAATTGATGATAAATTTTGCATAAATGCAGCTCATGACTAAGCAAATTTACCAATCTAATGTATATATGGAAATGACTTTGTTAGAATATGAACTATATGATATGGTCGGAGACAGAGTTAGGATTTTGAGTTTATGGATTCTGGATTCTAGAATAGGCGGTTTACTGGCTCTGGATAAGTTATTTATACATATTAAGCAGATTTTCGTAAACACAAATGCATGGTCTAGCCAAAGCATATGTTGCTCCGACTCTACAAAAATGTTTCCACACTCGTAACAGATTCTTCAAAATCGCACTACTTTTGGAGTATCCGGGCAACATAGGCCAAAGTTATTAGGTTCTACCGAACCTGTAAGAAGTTCTGTAGCTCCAGCCTAGATCTGCAACATTCTGTCTGAACAACTATAAGCAACAACAACAACAACAATGTATGGGGTCGGCTATATGAATCCTCACTGACCACGTGACAAATTTTGTTACAGGCTCAGCTTGGACGGTGTTGTCACGCGCGTTTATAGAGTATTGCATATGGGGTTGGGATAATCTTCCAAGGACTCTACTTATGTACTACTCGAATTTCGTGTCCTCTCCAGAAGGCTATTTTCAAACTGTTATATGCAATGCCCCTGAGTTTTCATCAACTGTTATTAACCATGACTTACACTATATCTCTTGGGATGTTCCTCCAAAACAACATCCACACATTCTATCACTCAATGACATTGGACAAATGATAGCAAGTGGCGCTGCATTTGCGCGAAAATTCAAGAATGATGATCTGGTTATGGACAAGATTGATCAAGAGTTTCTACACAGGGGGAATGGTAGCTTCACCCTGGGTGGTTGGTGCACGGGAAATCCACCTTGTTCAAAAGTTGGGAACCCGAAAAAGCTTAGACCCGGGCCAGGAGCTCAAAGGCTACGACGTCTCATCGATAGATTAGTTGATACAGCTAGTCAGAATCAATGTAAGTAGACTTTTTTTTCCTGTATCGTTCCAATTTTATCGGATGTTACATACTTTTCCTTGATTTTATGATCAAAAGAGTATAAAGCTCATTGAGAGATCCAAATCAATAAGTATTGCCCATTGTACTAATTTTTGGTTTTTGGAAAATGTTAGTTATATTATGTGTATACTGTCAGTGTAAATAACTTAAATCCGTTTTGATTTACAAATTTTATACTACATACTCCCTATTTTAGATGAAATGGCTATTCACACAAGAGCCATTGTTAACCAACAATTGCTAACATATATAATACATTCATTAATTTATTCCCACGCCAGAAGCATTGCCAACTATTATTATTTTATTTTTTTTGATCCGATGTTTGATATTCGTATAAGAGTCTGATTATTTGAATTCACGTAATACAAGCTCCAATTGAGCAAATAGAACTCTTAACAAAAAAAAAAATCAT